TAGACCACATACAATCCATATACTGTTTCATCCCAGCACTCTAATCCTGTAACTTATATCATTTCTAATTCCTTCTTGCTTATTAATAATCAAGCCTAGATATCTAGAATAATTGTTTCCGGAACAATATGACCACACCATGATTTTAAATAATACTTCATCCATTCCACTTTAATAGCACTTGACTTAAATCTCTTACAATCCTCAAGAGTTCTAAGTTGTGAATTACCCATTCCTAATATCATAAAGTAAAATTGGATCATTATCAAATAGCATACACTAAGGGACCTTTGTTTGGATATGTCTCACAAGTTCGTTTATAAATTAAGGAAAAAGGTAAGAATTTCACAGGAACCTTTATACGAGCCTATTCTAAAAGGAAATTCCCCAATATTACCTCATCAGGTCTCATATTCTTAACTAGGCCCTCATAAATATCCTTAGTACTAGGAGTGTATCTAATAGAAAACTCTCACTCTAGAGCATGCCAAATCATCTCCATAGAGATCCTATAATATGATTTTTTTCCTTTTAAAATCAATGAAGATTGTATAGAAGGCTTAATTCTTTTCCGTAAGCAATAACTACCGTAGTAGGTCTCAGTAGCAAAAAACTAAACTAATTTTCCAAGACCATTGAGTACATTTTAAATTATACTTAACAACCCCTAATAAACTGAATAACTCTGTAGTTTGTCCAACCTTGAATATCACCTTTAACATCTTTAAGGAAAACCATTACACTCTTCTTCCCTTCATCCTAATTTGATTAGCATTGTGTCTAGTTAGCTGATTTTCTTATATTTCTCCATTTCAGAGTATGCTCACTTTCGTATAGTACTTTGCAATTTCAAACTTATTGAGTTTGATTGATTTCTAGCTTTGCAGTAGATTCACTCGACAACTGTACAGAGTGTAACACAAGTTGGACTATGTTATCTTCTTTTTTAACAAGTCTAAATAAACACAGACGAAGAAAATGGAAGAATGCCCCCATAAGTGAAAATCAAACAACAAGAATGGCTAGCAAAACAAGAAGATTCTTGATAATTGTGGTTGCAAACCCCTTCGGAAAAGGTTGTGAATTACCTTCCACAAATGCATGGTCCGGTCACGTCCAACAGTCAATACACGTTCTTTCCTCAAGCTGTCAATTGTTAACACTTCACTCTGGTGACCAAATAAAGTGTTTATGTAAGTTCTATCTTCTGCATTCCAGATCTTGACAGATCGATCAAATGAACCAGAAAAAAGTTCTGTAGTTCCTTGCCTAAATGTTAAGCAAGACACAGGTCCTTTATGCCCTGGAAACGCCTGCAAGTAATGCAAAAGGTGAGTCAAAATGGCATTACAAGAACATAAAGTACGTTCTTTACATGCATCAGGAATGAATACACGATCGGTCAAACCGGTAGTATTCAAGAATCCATGAACACTTTGTTGTCATTCTTTATTTATTATTAATAGAAGCATGCCACCTAGTAGCTAATGCAGCAAATAGAAGAACTAATTTTCCACATAAATGGCTGGGATTTTTCAATGCACCAGAATTATTGTATTGTCAAGCAAGTATCTAGAATTTCAAACATAGAGATAAAAACCATTAACAGATGCCCGTTTGAGCAGCAATCATTGGAAACTTCCACATTCTTTTTCAGTACAAAAGAACTATGTATCTGTAGTTACTAATAGTTCAGTAGAGGCACCTGAATATGCTGCCGAGTACGGATATCCCACAAATGAACATGACGATCTAGGCCACCACTTGCCAAATATCGACTATCAGAACTAACTGCCAATGCTAGAACATGCTTACTCTGCTTGGTAGCTCGACCGTGCGGGTCCCTAGCACCATGAGATTTCAACACTACATCGCTAGGCCACACATACTTCTCAGTCTTCCCACTATTGACATCCCAATGAACAATGGTACCATCCTTGGAAGCTGAAAATCCTCTGGTATCATCCTCTGATAGAGTTACAGCAGTAACAGGCTGCCGGTGTTTTACTAAAAACCGAAATCCTTCTGTTGTTTCTGGTTTTTGAACTCTAAAGATTACAATACATTCCAATATCAATAGGTAGATGTGAAATTAAAGAGATGCATGCTAAATAAAATCTGTTTGGTTACATAAAAATACACAAAAATGGGCATGCGCATAGTTTGTGTGCATGTAAAAAGGAGAGAGCGAGCACATAAGGAAGCATCACAAAAGCTTAATAGCATCAAAATCAACAGTTCCAGAGACAACTAATACAAATGCAAACCAAATGTATTAATTCATCGAGATGAACCATAACTCAACAGGAACAATCAAGTATTTTTGCAGAATATGTGAATTTACAAAACTCTAGCAGAGTTGCTCCCTCTGTAACAATAATTATTGTCCTCTTCTATAACTTACCATGTGCTATCCAGCCTATCCTAGAAAACACCATCATTATTCCCTTAAATGCATCAACCATTGCAGAAAACCTCATTAACCCAGCAACACAACTTCTCACAATCCAATTATCCAATAATAAATTAGTCAAAAACATTCAAATACTAATGCTGCTAGGAAATTTCACTACAACAATTTATATAATACCAACTCAAGCATGTTTGTCCACCCCCCACCGGCACTGTCCAACCCTCAAAAAATGGCAAAATAAGCACGAATAGGTTCAAATTTGTTGAAAGAGAAGTCATAACAACCCATTACGAGCATATATCAACAAAAGAAAATATTAAACTCTTCTCTGAAGTCCCCCTTCTCCCAACCTCACACCAGAAGAAAAGAATATGAAACAAGATACAGGAAGCCAAAGAAATGTAACCCTCCCATCAGAGCATAGGTGTAAATTACTAAAACTAATACTTTCTACATTTGATAAGAGCATTGTAGCATCAGAATGTAGTACCAAAAGCTTGAAAGGTTGTGCATTTACATCAACTCGACCAAAGTTGTATACAAAAAGGAAAAGAATTACAAACCACAGGCACACGCACCTGGAAGCGATGGCTCTTCGCATGCGGCCGCTCTCCTCAAGCTGATCCTGCTGCAAAATCTTGGCAATAAGTGAATCCCTCTCTCCCTCTCTCTCTCTCCTAGCTCCTTCATCTTCCAATTCCTCATCATCTTCTTCTTCTCTCTTCTCCCGCGCTCTCATCCTGTCCAAGAATGCCTCAGCCAATCGTTTCTTTTTCTCTGCAGGCGTCTCCTCTATAATCTCTTCTTCATCATCCTCCTCCCCTACTACTACTTCTTTTTCCCCTTCGGAATCAAATCCCTCTCCTTCATCATCGCTGCTATTGATGTCTTCATCATCGAATTTATTCCTCCGCTTTGAACCGCTGTTGTGGAAAAATGGGTCATCGCTAATGGAGGATGACCGCTTCTTATTGCTGGCCTTGTTTTGCTGAGCAGAAGGTTTCCTCTTTCTCATGTTTTTGCCCGCCATATTTAGTTACTTCGGAGCTCAAATATCAACTGTGCCAACAAAGAAACGAATGAGAAAAAGATTTGAGGGGTTTATCGGTTTCTGAGGTTTAGGGTTTTTGGACAAGGTACAGTCCAGAAGATGCAAGAAAGCAAGATGGAGCTAAATTCACTGGTTTTGGGGTGGCAAGCTGCGCACCGAATTTGGGTTTGCCAACTAACCTAATTGGGCCTAAACTTTAAATTGAATTTTTTGCCCAAATAAGTTATTTCACGTAACTCCATTTGTTAGACATTAAGAGCGTGTTCGGTAGAGATTAAAATCGGATTAAAATTGAAAAATTAGTCTTTTTGTTAACTTTTATTAGATGAGTGGGGATCCAATAACGACTATATTTTCAATTTTAATTGGATTTTAAGTACGATCGACGCTCCCTAAGCCCCCATTTGACAAAGGAAAAATTATGTTTTGAATAGTGATTTTTTGGAGAATGTGTGATTAAAAAATAGAGAAAAATTTTGAATTTACATTTAAAATATTTTATTGTATAAATGTGTGGTTGAATATAAGTATGTAAAAAAAAGTTTGAAAATAATGATTGTCAAACGGGGCTAAAATCTAAGTTTTAATTTAAGTTATAATTAACAATTAATCTTAAATGTATATTTATAGGATTCATGACTTTTCAATCATATATTTCATCAAATTTTATTAATCTACTAAAAATCTGATTAAAATCAGATTTTTAAAGATTTTTGTATTTACGAGGAAAGAATGGTCGTGGTGATGATGTGCCTAGCGTACGAGGTGGAGTAGGAGGTGATTTTTGACTGATCTTCAATTTTTAAAAAAAATTACATGTCTTGTAACAAAGATTAAATTCACACAATAATTGCATACAAATTATATATAATACAACACAATTAAAATAAGAGTGTAAGTTAAAATCATTGCAAAACAATTACATAAACTATAATTTGCCAAAAGTTAAATACTGTTGGAATTTTGTGATGTTTAACCAATGTCTATATTTTTCGATTAGGCCGATTCCCCCCCTTATTTGGGTAACTTGCTCAATTACATATTTGGAAGGATAATGCTAAGTGTACATAAAGAATGATCAACAGTGGTGTTCATACACTTACATGGGGTGGAGACCACTCGAATAAAATATTTGAGTGGCTCCCACCCCATTTGAGGATATGGACACTATTATGGATCAATTTTTATGTACACCAATCATCACCCTATTTGGAAATACCTCATTAGTTCTCCAAATTTTCCTTTAAAATAATGATATTCATCATCATTAGTGCTGATCCCATAAACTGATAATCACCCGTCTAAGTGACGTTAGTATCACTGTCACAGCCACATTATCCATTGAAGTTAAGATACATTTTTATTCATTAAATGATGTGTCACTATTTCCATTGGGCCACAAGCAATCTAATGGAGACGAACGAATATAAATACTAATGATATATTTGGTAGAAAGAGATAGTACTAAATACTATTGGAGAAGAAAGAGAGTAAATTTCAATAATAATAATATTGAAACATGTTTAATAGGCAATTCTATATATAAATGTCATTCAAACTATGACTATTCAAGAAATCTCTATACCAATTAGCAGATAGCTTTGGTATCCTATTCAAGGTTCGAGGATCAATACGATAGAGTCCATATCTCAAGCTATATCCATTAATCCATTCAAAATCGTCCATCAAGCTCCATATAAAATATCCCCGAACGTCGGCCTCATCCCTGTCCACAAAAACATTCGTCAGCAATCACGACGAGCCATTTAAGTATTATAGAGGAAAAAATACTATTAATTGTCGGTAAAATACATCCAAATTATACTAAAATTATCGATGGAGTTGCAATAATGGTTGTACATAACTCATTCGAGAGATTAACAATACCTTATAGCTCGAGCGAGAAATGCAAGATATGATTTATGATAATCGATTCGCTTGACATCATGCTCATAGTCCTCGACTGATTTATCGGGTGACGAATAACCTGAAATAAAAGCAAAATTTTAGATATTGTAACATGTAGAAAGGAGAACAATATCGTGCACATTCGATTCAAGAGACGCACGGAAGATCAAGGTCATGTATTATTACGAGTAATCAAAACTACTCCAAAGAACGTAGTTCTCAAATTTAGTTGTTTTTATGCTTTTCGAATCTCATTAATCACAGAGAAAACTTTACTATGATGGAATTTCTCTGTGTAACACAAACTCACAAAGTGAACCTTTAAAGTCGGTTTTTTTTTTTAATTGAACTTCGATAGTCAAGAGGTTTAAGCGTAGCTAACAAAAGATAACCGGTGGATCAATATTGAGGTACCATTTTCAGTCACAAACATAGGTTTGTTATGGTATCTCTTCTTAGTATAGCTGACAATCTCTTCATGTCTTCCATGCCTCTTGGAACAACAAAAGATAGAGACATTCCTGTCTGCAAGAAAAATGAACAAGATGTTGTCATGTTCTCCTAATAAGAAAACTACAAATTAACTCGAAAACAAGTTTTAACTTACTGGTTCTCCGATTGGAACACCATCTCGCTGTGTAGTAGCGTACACAAATCCCCAAATTGCACGATCGCTACCCTGGATACAGCTAGAATCATTGCATATGCATTCAGAATTTATGCAATCCTTTGCGTAAAGGCTGGCATAATGGTTTAGCCCAATAAAGTCGATACTGTCTCTTAACAGCACTCTTTCCTCTGGAGAAAACCTCGGCAATTCACTTCCATGATAGCCACGCATTTCTGGAGGGTAATCTCCGAACACGACAGGATCCAAAATCCTTTAAACAAGATTAAACATCAGACCATGTTGGGTTTTGATACCCAATAAATCCGGACGATGATGTTAAACCGATTTTGTTGGATTATACTTCATAGGCCTTGGCCGATGAGTGAAGTGAAATGTCGACACCACAATCAAACGAACCATTCCTCCAACCTATTATTGGGTCATTTGAAGTAGCCCAATTTATTTGTGCTGCTCATGGCCCAACCCAATCTCTTGGACGGCTTGATTGATTGTTAGCCCACTTATCCCTTTTGTTATTGGGCTCCTTTGTTATTGACCTAAAAGCCCACATCTTTCCTTAACCTATTTAATTGGTTGTCTATTACTATTGTGGGTGAGTGAAAGTGTTGGAGTCGTGAGTTTACGAGAGGGGAGAGTTGCTTTGTGCTTTTGGGTCTTGATTTGTGCTAACCGTGGTTTCTCCTTCTTCTCTAGCCTTTGTGGCATTTTCTTGAGGCTGCCATACATTTCACACCTTGTCCTTGGTGGGCAAAACTGTGAGCAACCGGGTTTGGTGGTGCGAGAGGTTGAGGTTTTCGGTTGTTGATTGGTGGTGTCGATTTAGTGGTTTAATCTGAGCTTGGTTCTTGGTGTTATTGAAGGCCCAAAACTCACAGACCAGGTAACACAAAAAAAAAAAATCATACAATTACAAGATTTTGACGCTAACCAAGCAATATTAAAACCCAACGCCCTATCTGCAGCTTCCTGGTCGGACTTATCATCCGTTAATGGTTTATACATCACTGCGTGCAAAATGATGCCGATCATACCTCCTTGTTTATGCTGCATCGATGTAAGTTTCTTAGTGCAATTCTTAGCTTCTCGTAAGCTAAATGATAGTCGATATTTGCCTTAAATTTTGTGCGATATAGTTTAGCAGCTTTGGCATGTGCCAATAACATGTTGTGTACTGCAAACAGGGGCTTGATATCTGAATTGCCATGTCGACAGTTGCCAAAAGGCGACGAACAACGAGCAGGTGGGAAAGTTCCTATTTCAAATCCCAGAATTCCGAATAAGTTGGGAACGTTGATGCTACTCCAATATTTCACATGATCGCCAAAATTATTAAAACACGTCTCAGCAAAATGGACAAAGTCATCCCTACAAAAACCACACGTATGCCTTAATACTGAAACTGTCCCAAAACTAGGCCACACCCCAATATATTCAGCGTCGAAAGGTAATTTCTACGTACTGCATTAAGGTACTGAGCCAGCTCCCATATCTGTCTTCGAGTTCTTGAGGATAGTCAAAGTGGTGAATGGTCACAAATGGCTCAATTCCTGGATGAAGTCTTGAAATCTATCACTGAAACAAACTATTCGAACAGGTTAAAGCACGGAATAAGATCGTACCTCTGAGTAGGAGATTATCGATAATTTTATTATAGAACAAGATTCCGGCTTGATTAATCCACCAAACTTTCCTCCTTCAAAATCAAAGTGACATTATGAAGAAATTGCTAAGCAAAAATAAAGGTAAAAATGAGGCCTGGAGAGAAAATGCAAACTAGGAAGAACTCTACTCCATGAGATTGAGAAGCGGTAAGCATTTACGCCAAGAGAATGTAGTATCTCAATGTCTTCCTGTGCATGATTAACAAATTTTACCATTAATTATAGAAAATTTTAATGGTAAGGAAAATTTAGTGTTCGTACCATGTAACGGTGATAATGATCTAAAGCTATATCGCCATTTTCTCCATTTTCTGTGCTGCCTGACATAATTTTAATAACCAAATAGTAAAAAAAAAATTCAATGGAAATAGAAAATAAGGACCTTACTACTCGTACATCTCGGTTGACAGAAATGATGATAGATGAAATTCTCGAGAACATTTTAGCCCATTTTTTAAATAAAAAATAAATAAAATCCCACGAACTCCACGTCAACAAGAAATATTTCATGTGTCATTCTTTCTGTCGAAGAAAGTGTACAAGCAGCATAATTCTAGGAAACAATCAGCAAAAAACCATATGGAATCATAGAAATTATGTCACCTTCAATACGACAAAAAACGTCCCAGTTACTAAGACCTTTACCATCTTCAAGATATGCTCCTTCAATCTAAAGCACAAAAAATGGAATTAAATCTTGTTGGAAACTTACAGATGGGAGGATACAGATTGTTTAAGCTTAAAAACACAGAGAAGAAACACAAACTTGGTATGAAGAAGTAGACGCTCCAAAGAGAAACCCGTCTGGAAAATCGGATCTTTTGATGTCTACATCTCCTTCTTCCTCTGTAAAGTCTTTGGCTATTGAAGTCGCAGAAAGTAAAAGGAAGAGAATAACAAAATTACTGTAGACAATGCATGGAAATGTGCTTCTCTTCATTATGGGATTTTTATTGAAGTCACATTTGAGGTATTTTCACGAATGTCCACAATTAAGGGTGTGAGTTGAAAAGTGTCAAATTTTCAAATTTAATACTAAAGTGTCTATTATGCCCTTAATGAAAAAAAATGCCATTTGAATCTCTATGTATTCTCGACATTTAAAATGTCATTCTCGACATTTGAATCCCGTTTTATATTTCAATAGTACACACGTCAAATCACAATATTAAATGTTCTCGACATTTCAAAACGTCATTCTCGACATATTAAATGTCTAGAAGGACTTTCATTCCAAACATGACATTTCTCTACACTTGAAATGTTGTTCTCGACATTTCTGTGTCAATGCAAAAAATAGCATTAATTGTGATTTGACATCTTGTCATTTGCAATAAATGGAGCAGGTTATGTGTCACGATTTCATCAACCAATATTTTTTTTGCAAAAATGTCTATTTTATTGTCCTTGAATGGAATCATAAATTGTTGACCGTGGGTATTTTGGTCTAAAATATACCAAAATGGCCATTTTTGCAAGGATTTTTGAAAGTTGCCATTTTTGCAAGTAGCTAGAGGAAAGTAGACATTTCTTACAATTTTCACATTTTTATTTTATTTTTCGAAAATTTGGATTCCTTGAGTGATTTGATGGATGTTCGATCTGCAGTCTTGTAGGATCAACAATGAAAATGGTGCCTTTTACAATGTCCAGAAACTTTTAAAGCACTGCCAAGATTCAAACAAATCATTACGTTTTTTTTTTTTTTTGATGGTGACGAGTTTGGCTACATTGTTAATGTTTTGTTATATAAAATATACGCGTTGACATGAAAGCGAATTTTTTTCATAAATAATGGCAAGGAGAGAGAAGAATAGAATAGTCCAACAACAAAATTAAGGTTTGAGTATGTTAATAAATTTTTCTTGATTTCAGTTGAAACCTACAAAGACCCATACTGTTGAGGAAATATGACTAAAGCTTGAGTATATAAATTCATCTTTCTTGATTTTAGTTGAAACCTACGAAGATCCACCAATTTTTAAGCTCAAATTAGTCGTCATCGGTGATCGCTAGGATTGGTTCGAACTGGTAGACCTATCGAGTCTCTCGCGCACGAGCGCGTTGAGGTTTACGGCAACTATTGGACAGTTTAGTTGTCATATTACGTGCTCATCAATCTCATTCGATTTTTGTTACACTTCAATCTTTTTTCTTCTTCAAATATTTATCAATATTAGTTATAGTTGAACGTGTGTCGCACGTTATTCTGAAATGCTTTATATGTGCTATAAAAATAATATTTAAAAATGTGTGAATATAAAAAAATGTTAATAAAAAATGTTTACATGGAATGAACTTTTTATTCAATGAAAATATCACTATTAAATAACTTTTTATGTTTAATGTCATGGCTTGAATTTTATAACCCTGTAGAGAAGTCAAATACTATGTTATTTTTCATATATAATGTAATTACAAAATAAATAATCATTAAAGTAGACGTATTACCTCATTGTTAGTAAGTAGGATGAGCCTCAAAATATCAAACTTATCATCATTGTTGGAATAATATTAAACTAAATTCTTTCGAACTACGGTCACTTTAATGAACCATTCATTTTCATACGCCGATAAATCTCTTATAATCTTTGATTCCATGACGTGGGGGCAATCTCGATTTGGTTAAAACCTATATGTTCATGTGCTAGAAAATAAAGAAAAATATTTGATTATTTAAATAAAATAAAAATCAATTTGTGAAAATAATTTAAATGATTGAGGAGGTCAATTAAAATAGTCCCTCAATTCACCTTTTCAATCTGAACTGAACATTCAACGAATATCATCTTTTCTGTTGACTTATGGTTAATTTGAAACCTCAAAATTTTGATTCTAACAAATAAGTTGATCTTATTTACTAACAACTTGAATTCAAGTGATTATAGTCTTTCAACGCGTACAAAGGAAAATTGATCAATGGTTGTCAAAAGACCAAAAACTATCATCACTAAACGAACCTGAAAAACGTCAAGATCAAAGCCAAATTCAAGAAATTAAGAGTCAAACTTCGGAGCAAGATCATAGACTTGATTTCTTAGATAAAATGTAAATGTACTAATACTTTGGTATTTGGTAGTGAATACTTAATCTCAAAATCTTCATACGCATTAAAACTTTTTTTTTTTTGCATTAAAAGTCATTTGAATGCAACGTTTTGATTAAATACAAAAATGACTTTTAAAAAGATATTTTGACTTGAAAAATATATTTTTATCTTGAAAAGTTAGTTAACAATATACTCCAAAAGTCCATGCCTTTTAAAACCTTCAAATCGGGTCAAAAGAAGCCAAAACGCAAAAAGTCCGAAAATTG